ATGAAAGTACACAGAGCACGTGACATGCACGAGCATATTGCAGAAAAAGAAAGTGGTATATCATATATGCATGCACAATTAAATTAGCCCGTTGTTAATAATTTAGGATCATCACCTGCACACGTCTCTTGCATTATATATAATTATTTGAACATTGCCTGTCCACTTTTTTATTTAAATTTTTTTTTTTCAGATGGTTGAGATATGCATGACCTGAAATTGACAATTAAATAAGCCAAACCAAGTGCTTGTTAAATTATAGGTTGAATGGGTTTGAAATTCTAGCAACAGAGGTAAGCATAAACTATTGCAAATTGCTATTTGAAGTGCAGTTACTTGTTCAAACAGAATGCTATCTATACAATCTAAAGTGGAATTACCTGTTCAAACGGATGTTAGTGAAAAACTTTCTTGCAGCAGCCCTAGTGAACATCTTAAAACCACACTGCGATGCTGAAGAATACCATGTCATGATAACAGTTAAGTGCCTTCACTTAAGATTTGGTACACTATGCAGAAATTTGCAAAACATATATTGATAGAATTGGATCATGAACAAATTATCCCAAGACCTTCACTTTATATTTATAAAACGCAAATTGTTGGCGCTAAATCTTGAACAGATAGAGATGAGTGCAACTTACAAATGGGATGGACGATCGAGAGATCGATTGAATATTGGATGCCGATTCTTCCTGTCCTTGGATGCTGATCCTGAATAGAAAGAAGTCGAGACTCGTAAGGTCTATGGAACCGGTGTGGAACCAGCCTAAGACCCTCCGATGCTGAAGTAAGTTTGTTGTTTTAAGAGCTCTTGCTGTTGACCATATAGAAGTATAAAAGTCAAGCTGAAAAGTCTTACCCCTGTATTGTAGTGGAGGGGCCTATTTATAGAGGGCATTTAGTATGCTCTTAGTACTCATTTCCGATGTGGGACTCGTGGGAGGGCCCTAGGAGGTTGACACGAGTATTTAGATATTTCTGGCGGGTGCTTCGAGGCTGATTCTGTAGAATCGGTATGTAATACCGATTGTAGGCTGTGTTGGGCCTGCAGCGGCTGTTCGT